CATCATCCCTGTGCTACGCTCCTAGCTACTTAGGGCCAGTGTCCTGTGCTTCCCCACCCTGAGTCCCCTGGGGGGTGTCACTGGGGGCGGCCGCAGAGGCCGGGCTGCCTGCTTGTCTGTATCCCAAGTTGGCGGTAGTGGCCTGACTTAATGGCCACAGCATTCTTTGTTCACTGATAAGCCTCGTAAACGGAAAAATACTGCAAGCTTATCACTCATCCGACAATGCCATGTAATTTAACATACCAACCAATTCTGGTTAAATATTTTTCTCTGAGATGTCTCAGGGGTTCTCTGAAGCATCTCAAAGTTAGCTGAAGTAAAAAAAAAATTTGATTAGAATTTGATAGGAAGTTTGTCAACAACATCAAAGTTTCACACAATTTGTTATCAGAAGCATTTTAAGTAAACTTGTTCCCTTAACAGAGAGGAACCAAATCTAGTCCTGCACTAGTCTTCTTTTAATAACAAAATCCACTTACCTGCTGAAGTTGAATCTCAGCCCGACCATGCACAAAACCCTTCTAGGGCCCCCTGTTCACAGACTTGCCACAACTTTCAGTGTCCCTGTTAGTTTGTCCTTTGTCTTTCATCTAGAAGCAAAGGAGCTTTATTTAGGACAATTTTTTTTAACTCAAAACATATAACCTGCTTTCCTGCTGTATACTGAAATTTTTCTTTTATTATTTTTAGTAACTTGAGTGACATTTACATCAGAATCCTCAACTCTTCAAAACTAATTTCTAGTGAAAACAAAGAAGCAAGCAGTTATGAACTGCCTTTTGCAATAGCATTCTGTAGATTGGCAAACACACACCAATTATAATTTCTAAAACATATGCTTTTTATAGAAAACATCTCAGTGTGACACCAAACATATTTAATAATAGTCCTTTTAGTTTCTCTGTAAAGGGAATCCAAAGTTCAGTGAATAATGTCCAGTATCTTACTCTGGGAGTGACCTAGCTATTCAGCAAACTTCCACCATTTAACTTAAGTTAGCACAACTCCCAAATTTCAAGTTATCAAGTATCTACAGAGATCACTTTTAAGCAGACATTCCTAAAACAGAATTATTTCCAAAAAGTTCACCCCAAAGCTCCTGGGGTGTTATCTGCATTTAATTTGCCTATAAGAATTGTCATGCCAAGTTAATTTTTTTTTCTTTTTGACAAACTCTGCAACAGAAGGAACATGAACCTTTTGACTTTCAGGAAACCTTGGCACAATAAAAGACATGTCTGTGTTGATTATACCAAAGTTTAAGCTAGCTTTAATATCAGATATTAATTTAATATTGAATATTTCCTAGATCACATGAGCCTGAAATTTGTTGTCTAGCTTCTTTTATACTTAGAAGTATTCAATTTGTAGTGCTTGCTTGTCAATCAAGTAGAACTCTTTTGTATGTTAATTTTTATGTAAAGACAGGACCAGAGTTTTTTAAAAAAACTTTTTCCTTGAGACCCCAGGTAGATCATTTACATCTCAAAGGCGGAGGAAGAGAAATGCAAATTCTTTCTCTAACGGCTTATACAAAACCTAATCATCTTGGCTGTTTACAGGGATTATTTTTCCAGTTCTCAAATATCCACTGCAGCTTAAAAGAAATAATAGTAATAGACAATAATACATGTTAATCATATGCTCACATTCACATGCTTCACTTTCAGCAAAACTAGGAAGAGAGAACAGGATTTGGACTCAGGTACCAAGATACTCAGACACACTCACACCCCTGCCCCCAAGATAAAGCTGACCTGCAGAAGGCCCACTCTGATAAAACAGCAGAGCCACCAGGGCCATTGTTCTTCAGACCTCAGGGAGCACTGAGGCCACACAGTGTTACAGTG